ACCTCGCGCCCGCCTCCTTACCTGCGTCACCAGCAGCGCCGCCTTCAGATAGGGAGCGTCGGCGGGCCTGCAGTAGACGCCGAAACTCGACGCTTGGTCCTGGAAGAGAGAGAAGAGAGGGAGAGGGTGTTAGCAGAGGTGGAGTCGACTGCTTCGGTATTTCGTGTGTTGGATTTAATTTGATTTATGGCTACTAAATGTCGTCTTGGTGTTGGTGGTGGTGGAGTGTTTTTGTATGATATCGCCTCTCTCTTTCTATCTCTATCTATCTTTCTAGCTATCTTTCCTTCTCTCTCTCTCTCTCTCTCTCTCTCTCTCTCTCTCTCTCTCTCCCTTTATATCTCTCTCTCCCCTTCTATCTCTATCTTCCCTTCTCCCTATCTCTGTCCCCTTCTATCTCCTCCCATCTCTCTCTATCTCCTCCCATCTCTCTCTATCTCCTCCCATCTCTCTCTATCTCCTCCTCCTCCCATCTCTCTCTTTCTCCTCCCATCTCTTCTCTTTCCTCCCATCTCTCTCTCTTTCTCTCCATCTCTCTCTCTTCTCTTCTCTTTCCCTCCTCTTCTCTCTCGTTCTCAATTCCCCCCCTTTCTTTTTCTCTCCCTCTCTCATTCTCTCTCTCTCACCCTCTCTCCCTCCATCTCTCATTCATTATCTTATCTAAAAATCCAAAGACTGCTTTTGGTTAAGATACGGAACTTAAAGAAAGAATATTAGACGTAGGACACACGAAATGAAAAACAGAGAAGAGAGAGAGAGAGAGAAAGAGAAAGAGGAAGAGAGAGGGGGAGAGAAGAGAGAGGGAGAGAGAGAGAGAGAGAGAGAGAGAGAGAGAGAGAGAGAGAGAGAGAGAGAGAGAGAGAGAGAGAGAGAGAGAGAGAGAGAGAGAGAGAGAGAGAATAGAGAGCGAAGCGAAGAGAGACAGAGAGATATGTCATGTCATTTACAGTTTCTTTTTATATGTCTCCTGATCAGAAGTGACATCTCATAAAGACGAAAAGAAAAGAAAAAAAAAAAAAAAACACAAGGAATACTAAAGATAAGAAACATAGACTACTTCGTCTCATATTTCGACCAAAATCTTTCACATCATAAACATATTCATCCTGATCTTCGTTGAATAAGGAAACTGATATATAAACATAATGCTATAATAATGTGGTATGATATATTACCATATAATGTTATATGACATACTGATAGAATAGAATACAATACAATACAATATAAAAATACATGATATAATGATATAACATATAGGAATAACATAATGAAACATAATCTAATAATATGATTTAATTTAACACTACAATATATATTGAGGAAAAGAAGAAGAAAAAAACCTGCAAAATATTCCTTCAATATTTTCTTTTAACTCAACGGTAAAAGGCGTGACCTAAATACCAGAATCAGAAGCCATGTGATAGATGATGAAGAAGGAGAGGAGGAGGAGGAGGAGGAGGAGGAGGAGGAGGAGGAGGAGGAGGAGGAGGAGGAGGAGGAGGAGGAGGAGGAGAGGAGGAGGAGGAAGAGGAAGAGGAGGAGGAGAGAAGGAGGAGGAGGAAAGAGAAGAGGAAGAGGAAGAGGAAGAGGAAGAGGAGGAGGAGAAGAAGTAGAAGGAGGAGGAGAAAAGAAGGAGGAGAAGTAGAGTAGGAAGGAGGAGGAGAGTTTGAGGAGAGGAGGAGGAGGAGAAAGAGAAAAGAAGAAGGAGGATAGAAAAAGATGGAGGAGGAAGAAAAGAAGAAGGAGGAGGAAGGGGAGGAGACGACGACGACGAAGAAGAAGAAGAAGGAGGAGGAGGAGAGGAAGTAGAGGGAGAGGAGAAAAATTAGAAGAAGTAAGAGGAGGAGAAAAAACGTAGTGAAAGAAGATAATGAAGTAGAAATAGAAAGGAAGAAAAAGAAGCAGAAGAAAAGAAGAAGGAAAAACAAAAAGAAAAAGGAAGGAGAAAGGGAGTGTCAAGAAGTAGAAGATGTAACAAGGATGTAACAACCCTTCCACAAATTACCTCAATTCCAATACCACCAACATCACCAAACTACCAACAACTACATTCTCCCCGTCTCACCTTCTGCCTAAACAGCACGACGGGGAATGCCGACTGCCTCCTCAGCACGTAGACCGACTGCACGTGAACCCCCAGGCGCGCCTTCATCAGCACGATGTTGTAAACCTGAAATAGGAGAGTTTTACGACGTGCCTCGGCGGGGAGGGGGTGTCCCGGATGCGGCTCGGGCAACGCGCGCGCCGCTTGGAGCTGAAGATGGGGGTTTAATTAATCTTCGTGTCTTTTTTTTTTGTCTTTTTTTTAGTTTGTAAATAGTTTTGGTGCTGTTGGGATTTTGTTTAATCGTGTTTTTCTTTGTTTTCTTTTTTTTAAGTTTGTAAATAGTTTGGTGCTATTAGTGAATTTTTTTTTTTTTGTTAATTTTGATTCGAGTGAAAAAGGGAAAATGGGCAAGAAAATGGCATATTAAAGTAACTTTTTCTTTCGATGACTAAAGAAAAAGCAACGGCAAACAAAAACAAATGACTGCCTCGGAGCGTATATAAGCACCCAAATGAATTCCCTTGATCCTTCAGCATAATCAAAACCACGTTCTATTGAGCATAACAAACAGGAAACAAATTCCTTGATTCGCTTGATCATAAACAACAACCACTTTCCCTTCAGCATAAACAAAAAATCCCTTAATCCCAAACAAATTCCCTTAAGCATAAGCAAACAACCCAATTCCCTTGAACATAAACCAAACAAAATCCCTTAAACATAAACAACCAAACAAATTCCCTTGAACATAAACAAACAACCAAATTCCCTTGATTCCCTTGAACATAAACAAACAACCAAACAAAATCCCTTAAACATAAGCAAACAACCCAATTCCCCTGATCGCAAACAACCAAACCACTAAATTCCCTGGAGCGTAAGTAAACAAACAACCAACTAGATTCGCGCTCCAGAGGCCCCCAGAAGAAGCAAAATAAACAAGCACTCACGCAGCCGCACTCGGGCAGGTCGGGTTGGAGAGCCTCGGCCAGCTGCTCCAGTTCGGCCGACGATCCGACCTCCACGAACACCTCCTCGGTCGCCATCTTGCTTCGAAGTCGACGCTTTGGCGCACTTCGTGTATCTTCGGGGTTTTCGTTCGGTGGTGTTTGTTTTCTTTGGTCTGTTCTTTGTTTTGATTTGTTTATCTGTTGTTTTTTTTTCTTTTTTTTTCTCTCTCTTTGTTTTGTTTGTTTTTTGTTTTAATTTGTTTCACTTTGTTTTGTTTTGTTTATCCTTTGTTTTTTTCTTGTTCTTTTTCTCTTTCTTTTGTCTGTTCTTTGTTTTGATTTGTTTCACTTTTTGCTTTGCTTATCCGTTTTCTTTTCTTGTTCTCTTTCTTTCTTTTACCTGTTCTTTGTCTTAATTTGCTTCACTTTATTATCTCCAATTCTTTTTCCTTCTCTTTCTTTCATCTGGTTCTTTGCTTCACTTTACGTATCCTCACTCTTTTGTTTTCTTATCTATCTTTGCTTCATTCTCCTCACCCTCCTTTGTTTCTTCCTCTCTCTCTTTCGTCTATTCTTTGCTTCACTTTTACTTCTCTCTCACACGCGCAATCTGCTTCACTATTATAATCTTTTCATTGTCTTGGTATGAACGTAGACTCCTTGTTCTTGCAGGTGAATAGTGGATGTTCTCTGCAATCATATAAAAAAAGTTAAGGAATAAAATGAGAATAACTATGAATAAATACAATACATAATAATAAGACGGATGTTCTTGCAACCATATAAAGAGAGAAATTATGTAATAAATGAGAATAACTATGAATAAATACATAAATCTAAATAACATATAATGAATAAAAATAGTACTGATTAAGAATAACTATGGGAATATTCGATTAAAATTTGATTTACGTATATAAATGCACATATTAGTTATTATTTCTTTTTTTTTCTTTACTATTTCTTCTTCAACATTTGTTTGTATTCTGAATTCCCATTAAGAAGGAGGAGGAGGAGGAGGAGGAGGAGAGGAGGAGGAGGAGGGAGGAGGAGGAAGGAGAAGGAGAAGTATCGAAGGAGGAAGAAGGAAAGAAGAAGAAGAAAGGAGGAGGAGGAGTAAAAAGGAGAAGGAGAAGGGGTGAGGAAGAAGTAAGGAAGGTAGGAGGAGGGGGAGGAGAGCAAGACGTAAGAAGAACTAGTAGGAGGAGGAAGAGAAGTAGAAGAAGAAGGAGGAGGGAGAAGTATAAGGAGAATGAAGAGGAGGAGGGAGGAGAAGAAGAAGAAGAAGATAGAAGAAGAAAATGATAGAAGAAGAAGAAGAAGATAGAAGAAGGAAGAAGAAAAGAAGAAGAAGTAAGAAGTAAGAAGGAGGAAGGATGAGTGAGTAAGAAGAAGTAAGAAGAGAAAAAAGAAGAAGTTGAAAGAAGATGGAGTAGAAGGGGAATGAAAAGGAAGAAATCAGGAGACAGAAAGAAAGATAAAAGAAGACCATAACTTGACTGCGCATATAAATGCACATCTACGCATGGGAATAACAATGGAAAAAAAACAAAAAACATTTATAAACAAATAACACGATTTGAGGTGATATAAGACCATCGGACACTGAGGAGTTCTAAGTTACTATTTCTTTTTTTCTTTCTTCGACATTATTTGTTTTGTATTCCGGACAATTCCCATTTAAGAAGAAGTAAGGGAGGAGGAGAGGAGGAATGGGAGAAGAGGACGGAGGAAGAGTGAGAAGAAGAAGATTGAAGAAGAAAAGGAAGGGGGCGGTAGTAGAAGAAGAAGGAGAGGAAGGAGTAAGGAGAAGTGAGAAGAGAGGGTAAGAAGAAGGAGGAGGAGGAGAAGAAGGGAGAAGGAGGAGGAAGAGGGAGAAGAAGAAGATGAAGAAGCAAAAGGAAGGGGCGAGTAGAAAAGAAGAAGGTGAGAAGGAGAAAGAAGAAGGAGAAGGAGAAGAAAAGGAGGAGGAGTAGAAGAAGAAGAGAAAGAGAGAAGAA